TATCGTTGCTAGTTCCGAATGTTTATAAAAACAAATACATGTGGAAAATCATGGGGAACTCCGACATTGCCATGCCCAACTCGCTGGCCGGTGCAGCCACGTGGCAGAGCCAGGCGCAGACTCCATCAAGGCCTCCTCTGCACTAGCTCGAGAGCGAAAGTCGACCTGATGAAATGGAAACATCCAATGCTTGGTCGTAGAGTCTTACTCTCAAGAATCAAAGTACCAGGTACCATATCATGATATCAAGAAATACTATTATATGGTAAATATAGTATATAAATATAGACTTATCATATATGTAATTATATGTAATTATATGTATATATATTTGCGAACCACAGGACGGGGAACCAAAACTGGGTGAAACTCAGCACCGCATCAGATGAGTGGCCTCAAGACGCATGTCAGAGCAGCGCGCTTTGTACCAGAGCTTGTTCCTGGCCACACCAGATCAGTAATGTCAACCCTGGATTAATAAACCCCAAACGGTTGTTTAATTGGGAGGGTACCATTTAAGTATCATATTATGACTATTGGAGGGGTACCCCCCTAATTAATAAACCATGGTTTATTAATCCGGGGTTGACATTATAGGAAAACTGTTGCAGCTGCGTGTTACAAATGGCTCCAACAATGATCTCAGAATATCTCAGATATAAACAAAGAGTGTCACAGTCTCACAGACCTCACAGGATTCTTCAAGAATTTCCCAAGATGTTCATCCCGACAGCGTGGGTGCCTTTTCATCGGCGTGATCACCGCCATGTTTCCAGGAGAAACCTCCGCAGCCCGTGAAAGATTTCTTGGATGACTGTAAGCTGAAACAAGAAGTGAGTGGCTTGGCGAAATCAGCAGATGGATGCGATTGCACATAGTTTGACAAATGGCAACTGAGGCTGAAACGTGTAATGCCATCTGTCCACTTCTGAGTGGGACCAAGAAACATTCAGAGGCATGCAGAAACCAACAGCACCAAGGGTTCAAAAAGGAGCAACTACTGGGCTCCAGACTGGGACATTGACACTCAGAAAATCACATGAAATTTATTCACACTATCACAAGCATTGACCCATCAATGGCTGCACCATCAAAATATCAAACCACTGTTCTTTGTTGCAAGTAACAAAACAAAAGCACGGAATCTTGCTGGTCACATATCAAACTTGCCAGCGGACAACTGTCTGTGCCAACATATCCAACACGATGCACAACATACATCTGAAACTCGGCTTGCATGATCGCACAACACACGTTGTTTTGCTCAGGCAAGGTATGCACCAACATCACCATCTGCGGGCACTTCGCCTTCTGTTTGCAGAGATTTGCTGGGCACACCATGCACCGCTGATTCTGCTGTCAAACAAGCACATCATTCGCTTTGTCAGCTGGGAGGTCGCTGACATGATTTTCTGCCGCAACACATGCGCTCCCTGTTTCTTGGTTTTCTTCGAACTCAGCCACAGAACATCCCGCACTTTCAGCACTGTCGGAACTGTGATGCAATTCACATCTGGGAAAACGACTTCGCCCCCTGCTGCAAATGACGGCAGGGGCATCACGGTAAATCTCCCAGTCTTCACTTTGCCTTGAAAGCAGGACCACCGATGCAAAGGGGAAGGTCAAGCATGCGACATCCCGCGCTTCCGGTCGGCCACTGTAAACATGAACAAAGGAGTCCACTAAGGATTGCAGGTTGGTCCGCACAGAACACACCAAGCGAACACCGGCTTCACGGCAAATGAACCCAGCTTTGAGAGCGGAATACTTGTCGCGAAATTCTGCGATGATGACCTATCTTTCGAAATAACGAAATCAAAGCCCAAGATACCAGCAATGATCTTTCCAACAAACAAAATCTGTATATCTAATAAAACCACAACAAAACCACCACAAAATATACTTCAAAATACTTCAAAAAATCTTGAACATCCCACCTCTGGGACATGTTCATCAATGGTTTGTCGGATCCTCTCCACGCCACCTGTACCCATTGTACCCGTCAGGCAGCCCAGGTCGGCATTTCCCACGAGGTCAGAGAAATCACCCAAAAGGTCCACCACCTGGACCTGCAGTTTACATGGGGAAAATTCTGGGATATGGGAATGAGTTTGTTTAAACTCATCCATTGATGTCATTCTATTGATATCAAACCTATGATAAATATGCGTTCGCTGAGTTTTTCTTCCATGAAAACTGGGAGAAAACATACCGGAGTATGATTTGATGTGGATGAGCCACAAAAAACAACGAAATGATATTCATGTTGCCAGTTTCTTGCGCGTCCATCTCTCAAACATACTCAATAAGATATATATATATGCAAAGTTCGGGATTGGAGAAAATGAACAAACACGTCCTACGATCTGAAGAGAAATGACAGAGAAACGGCTTTGTCCACAAATAGAGTGCTCCATGAGTGCCCCAAAATTCAAAGGTTCAGTATCATTCATATCATTCATATCATTCATTTTCTTTATCTGAACCGCTACAATGGTCAGTTTGGCCGGTCAAGACACCTGCAGCTCCTTGGACATGTTTACGGCCGCATCTCGGAGAATTGTGGTTTTGCCGCAGCCGGCTGGACCCACAAACACGGTGGAACCATCCAGATCTTGGGCTTTGTCCCACAGGCCCTCCAAATAGCCTCAGTCAGTCAGATCAAACCAGGGCAGTCGCGTAGTCTCGACATTCGCAAAACATGAGTTACTGTGGGATGCAGGGCTTCTTTGGGTGCTTCCCACAGTAATTCCATGTGCTTCCCACAGTAAAAGTCTTTAAAAAAAACGGTAATCATAGATAATCATAGATAATCATAGATCATCATAGATCATCATAGATCATCATTCACCAGACTTACCATTTAGTGTAGACCAAGTAGCGCCCCACATGCACCGTGACGCTGCAAAGTCGGGACGCCGATTGTCCGAAGTGGGCCCGGTGTGGCGATCCAGGGATGTGCACCAGTCCAGGTACGTTCTTCCAGCACAGCCTTTTCCGCGATCGTTTCGAAGCTGTCGGAAAAAACTATGAAAAACTTCAGGAATCAAAAATAGAAAGTGGGGAATCTAATGGAATCCTACATAAATTATTGCTGATATAATGTGATATAGAATTGAATAATTAATCTACATAAATGTTCGATAAAAAACATGATAAATCAATTGATACAGATCTTCAATTCTCAGCTTTGATTTCGACACAATGCCATGGCGAGCCTCCTGGCCATTTCATCCAGATCCTTTTGGCACAGTACCGTGGATGGCAACTTCCTAGGATCCAACCAACCGCTTCGCAGGGCCACCTGCCGTGGTCTGCCAATGATTGAAGCCGTGGAGCCCCAAAAAATCCGCTGCCCCCTGGTGAACATCAAAATAGCTGGGATTTATGGATGGTCATTCCCCTAAAAATGGTATTAATAGGTATTGATCCATACCCAAATATGAAACATGATTCAAAGTGAAAGACGACTTGAGGATTTCGGAGCCGAACTCTAACATCGAGGAATCTCCAAACTGAAACCACCATGGCCTTCATGGGAGCATCGGTCCGGTGAAGTCGATGGGCCGACTGCAAAATCTCCAACACTTCCGTGGAGATGTCCACGTTGAGACGGGACGGTAAAAGCATTCGGAATGCTCCTGGCGTCGCTTGAAGAAAAAACTGCACTCCAGATAGTTGGACGACAGGAAGATTCATATGATTCATGACTTAGTTGGATTTGGGGTTCTCCTGCATGTTCGTTTTCATGTCTCTTGGGGCCAGAGACGTCTGTCGCACCTGTAACCTCAGGCCGTGAAATCCAAGGGCATGAATAAAATTGCTCCAAGCATCAAGTCACCACAGAAGGTGCTCTCAGTAAGGCACTTTTTCTTCCGGCTCAGCACCATCCATGGCAGGGTCGCAAGCTCCTCTGGCCAAAGTCAGCGTTGGATCCCCCCGTGGCAGCTGTAAAGGCTGCGCTCCTGATGGAGTTTCATTACTCTCAAGCCTCGGAGCGAAAAAGTGTCACTTCCATGGCAGATGTTTTTCCAGATGCATTGAGGGCAAGTTCCAACAAAGGAGATCAGATTTGAGAGCCCTATCCATGCTGTAGAAATATAATCTGTGCATGTCTGTTGCACCAAGGCAAGATGCTGCTGGGTTGTGCACTGCAGAAGTATCTCCTTACACTTGCTGTCAAAATACCTGGCAAACAGTACTTGCCACACCAAGAACGCCCGTCACCCTGTCCAAACTGTCCAAACAAAGGGGTCATACATCTACACATGCTGAGGATTCGGCTTCACAATTTCCATCTCCGAAAGGGGGTACCTCATCTCAGCCTTGCGAAGCTCAAACCAGTTGCCGCTCAAATCTATGGTGGATCATGGTGGATCTATGCTACCACTCACTCTCTGGCCTGTCTCCCCCACGCCACAAAGAGGTCTGTAGGCACATCTTGCGAGGTGTCCTCAATCAATAAACATCAACAAACCATGGATCATTCACAAAAAATACAAATGACTGGCATGTGAAAAGATCAAACGAATGATTTAAGCATGGGTCAAAAAAGGGGTAAATGGACCCGCAAGGTTACTGATTTTGAATGTAAAACCATCCATTTTGTTGGCCAAGAAATTTGACGCATGCCCCAATTAATTATACATCCCATGATATCAAAGTGAATATCATCATAAAATCAAAAAAATGGATCATGAATGCGGATGATCAAGATGATCAAAACATCAAATGTGTGTTCCCCGCGCTCCTTCTTCTTGTGTGGTTTGACTTGAGAAGGGGTGACACGAAAGGTAGTTGTGTCACAGGGGACGCGGGGGATCACGCAGTGCGAAAGCCGACATGCGACCGGGCACGTGGCAAATGGATGTCGAAAAATCCGAATTGCAAGTGGAATGATGATGATGATGATGATGAGGATGATGACGATGATGCTGATGATGAGACACTGCGAAGGGGCTGCTGCGTGAAGAGACGCACAAGGCATGTGACGAGAGTTCACTTGGGAGGGGGGCATGGAACGGGACATTCAGAGCAGAGCGGAGATATCTGGTTCCGAAAAGAGAGCACCCCACGATGTCCATGGTTGCTCATCACTTAGTCCATTTAAATAGCCATTTGCAGGTATACATTGTCAGACACACGCATCGTGCGGGGAAAAAAAAACACGGTCAGTGTTAGCACCAATGTCTCTTTTTGCGGTACCTATGGATGGTCGAACCTGTCACTTTCATCGCACCGTTGGGTACTTGGAAAATGGATGTCGAAAAAGCCGAATTTCAAGTCGAATGATGATGGTGATGAGGATGAGGATGATGTTGATGTTGATGATGATGATGGTGATGATGACGAGACACTGCGAAGGGGCTGCTGCGTGAAGAGACTCACCAGGCATATGGCGAGAGTTCAATTTTATAAAGACAAATTCTGATTACATGGTTTTTTGATTTCTATATCTATATCTGCTATGAAGGAACACTTTGACTCATTTTTGGAGTGGGGGATCTGAATGGAATACATTGGCGCACGAATGCGCACGAACCCTTGGATCCCTTTGATTCTTTGGCCATCAGGAGCCTTCACAACGTCAGAGGGCACTGAATTGGATTGCTAACTCGGATGCTCCGGAAACTTGAGGGGATGATGCTTGTGCTATCCATGGCGCATCTACGTCCGGCCGCATGCAGTTTGAGAACTTAGCGCGGCATTCACGGTGCATATGATTCTCGCAGGCGCAATCCTTCAGCTAGCAGACTCTGAGACTATGACTCGAGAGAGATTGCATCCAGCAATTCTTTCGGTCCTTCCAATTTTGCGCACCTGGCTGGACGGTCGGTGAAAGCTTCTGAATTCGATGAGCCTGTCAAGGACATTCAAGGACTGCATATTGTTGCCCCGCTACTATATGTGATTTCCTGTCATTCGCCACACACAATCGGGTTCATGACTACAAGCCATCTGAAGCGTACATGGTTCGAGGCTTCAGTTCGGAGGGAACCTGTCGTTCCAGACGAAGCTCTTCAGCCAAAAGCGAAGACGACTCTTGAAACAAAACAAAATAAGACCATTGAGACCAAGAAAGCAACCATGTCTTGCTGAAATTGTGGATCATCCTGGATCTCTATACTGCCTAAAGCTAGTGATGCAAAAAGACACAGCAGGAAGACACGAGAGTTGCTTCCAACATCGGACCACTTGACAAAGCATCAAGGGCATAAGAGCGCTGTACTGGAACTGGCTTGTAAAGTCCCAGAGAACATTCACGGCTGGGACGATCATGAACAGAACCACTGCTGGAATCACCTAAGTCAATAAGATTGGGCCATCTGTGTCTAAGAGACCGCTTTGCTTCAGAGCAAGGCCTACAGCAACCTTTGTCTTTTCAATTCCATCACTCCGTGGGTCTGTCTTCAATTCACAGGGGGATGCAGTATGATGCAACTTCCTTTGGCTGCAGGCCAGCAAGGCAGACAAGCCTTCAAACTGCTTTCCGGCTCTTCGAGACTCCACGAGGTGCTGTCAATTGAAGGCTTGTGGCAAGAGAAACGAACTCATCCAATCAAGCGCAGTGGATACCTCTTCTTCTTGGAATGCAAACGCCACAGCCAGCAGCTTCGCTCGTTCAACTGGCATCCAAATTGGCATCTAACTTGTGCAGGGAAAATCTGTCACCAGCGAAAGGTCATCTGAAGTCATGCTGCTGGGTACTGGTTGCACACGCTGCAGGAGAGAATGTGCCTTGCTTCTTGCAAGGAATCCACGAACCTCTTATTGAAATCGAAGATTTTCTCAAGCTGTTTGTGGCATACATTCTTATGAAAGGAAATGCAACAAGATTGTGCGCCTTGCAAGGCAAGCCCATGCCGTGATTGAGTTGAAGCAACACTAAAAAAGCAAACCGGTGACCAAACATGTTCTTTCGAAGCTCAGTTCTGAGTAGCTGGTTTTGGACAAAACAATGTTGGAGAAGTATTAAAAGAACTGCCCCATCTTCTCCAATCATGTCACCTGACTCAGCTACACATGTCGTCATGTGTCCAGAGTCCATGGCCCGACAAAGCAGGACTGTTCCAAGTGCGCAAGAAATCCCAGCAAAATATAGTCTCGTTGACGCCTGTTTCATCCTAAGAAGGTGCTATATCTATATCTATATCTGCTATGAAGGAACACTTTGACTCATTTTTGGAGTGGGGGATCTGAATGGAATACATTGGCGCACGAATGCGCACGAACCCTTGGATCCCTTTGATTCTTTGGCCATCAGGAGCCTTCACAACGTCAGAGGGCACTGAATTGGATTGCTAACTCGAATGCTCCGGAAACTTGAGGGGATGATGCTTGTGCTATCCATGGCGCATCTACGTCCGGTCGCATGCAGTTTGAGAACTTAGCGCGGCATTCACGGTGAATATGACGGTTTGTCAAAATGTCTGTTCCCGCTTTTGTTGATAAATCGCAATTCCATGCGTGCCGCCTCATGTTTGCCTTCAAAGTACTTGGGAGCATTTGGGAATGCAAGTTTTCTTGAAACACATGAAAGCACCCAGACACCAAAGACAGAGTATTTTGACGCAAACCGCTAGGATCTACTAGAATCTACTGGGATTGACAGCCAAGCTGGGCCAAGCTGGCATACACGACGGTGCGCCACCTCTGCAAACAACCGTGCAAAGGACGGCTACCACCTGAAGTTATGCCCAAGCTCCTCCAAACTCAGTGGGTCTGAGCCTACGCCTGCACTTCCGCCGTCTAGATATCAACAGTTCGCTATGGCTCCACTGAGATCCCACATGCCGCTGTTTTGCTGGCAGAAAGCCACGGTCTCAATGGCTCTCAAGCCTGTGGGATGCCGAATTCTGCATTCTGTGTCTATACTTTATTCACGCTCTGAAGCCAGCTGTGTGGCTTGAACCATCCGGAGCATCTATGTTTCATGGGTTTTCTATGTCATGCCCTGTCGCACTCAACTCCATCATGCAAGACTGCATGATTTCAGTGCAAAGCGAGCACGCATTCAGGAAGCACCTGGGGCTGAGCCCCCTGATCTTTATTTGCCGTTTTGGTTCGGCAAACCAAAGTGCAGTTGTGTTCTTCTTTGTGTGCATCCAGGACCAAGAGTGTTCAGACAAAAATATCTACCGTAAGCGTGGGGCACACGTTCAAAGGTAACGCTTACAAGTTCTGTGTACTGAGCGCAGGCGGGCTCGTTGAGCCCACTAGGCTCTGCGCACGGTGGTTTGAATGCATTTCACATTGCATCGCGGGCCTTCAGGACTTGACTTGGAGCAGCCTTAGCATCTCTGTGAGGTTGTCTTCCGTATAGTCTGGGTGGCAAATATCTTACCTGGCCTTCTTGAAGCAGCCCTTAGCATCTTAAATGATGGTACCTATAAAGGGTAACTCGGGTAACTCTGCTGGCCACCTGCTGGCCCTTGTAGCTCCTTACCCGGATGTGTGGTACGGAATGGCATGGAATGGTATGGAAGTCTGGTTGAAACCGAGGGATCAATTCTTCCAAATTTACGCTTGAAGTTTGGCTGCAGGCCAGCAAGGCAGACAAGCCTTCAAACTGCTTTCCGGCTCTTCGAGACTCCACGAGGTGCTGTCAATTGAAGGCTTGTGGCAAGAGAAACGAACCCATCCAATCAAGCGCAGTGGGTACCTCTTCTTCTTGGAATGCAAACGCCACATGATTGCAAAAATGGAATTTTAAAATGAAATTTCAGTACGACTCCCCCCCCCCTCAAATTCCATTTTTAAGAAAGAGGGTAGGGATCGCTTTAAGAAGTTCCAGCCCGCCACAAAATGTGTGAACCTTTTGCAACTGCTACCCGACTGAAACTGACCGCACTGTACTTGATGGGTCTCTTGCACGCTTGAGGCGCTGAGACTCTGACATCATTTTGCACTGTGAAACAACAAATGTCTTCACTCAACACACAAATTTACCACTCACGGTGGCATACGGTGGCTAGTTTACTGGCGGAATCATCTCTTCCTCACTCTTTCCTGATGTGAGGCTAGCTCAAGTTATGACGACTGTGTTGACAGATTCCTGTAAAGAATCTTGTGCAGGACTGAAGCTGGTCTTGGATTGGAGCTTTCAACGTGCGCCCATAGTTCCTTGCTGGCAGCTCATCATCAGTAATACTTACAGGAAAAGAATGCAGGAAAAATTCTGTAATACTTAGCAGGAAAAGCCAGGAAAAATTCTGTGGCAAGTATTGCAAAGTGCCATGTCGGCCAGAGATGGCCAGAGTAAGTATTTCAGCATGCCAAAAATCGATGGACAGTGTCACCTCGCAAACATCTCTTGAATCGGGGGGGTGAAGCTTGAATTTTATTGAATTTTAAGAATGCCTGCTGTGAATTTGTGTAACTCGAACCTTCTGAACTCTTTCATTTCAAACAGTTTGAATCTAACTCATAACAGAGAGAGATTGCATCCAGCAATTCTTTCGGTCCTTCCAATTTTGCGCACCTGGCTGGACGGTCGGTGAAAGCTTCTGAATTCGATGAGCCCGTCAAGGACATTCAAGGACTGCATATTGTTGCCCCGCTACTATATGTGATTTCCTGTCATTCGCCACACACAATCGGGTTCATGATTACAAGCCATCTGAAGCGTACATGGTTCGAGGCTTCAGTTCGGAGGGAACCTGTCGTTCCAGACGAAGCTCTTCAGCCAAAAGCGAAGACGACTCTTGAAACAAAACAAAATAAGACCACTGAGACCAAGAAAGCAACCATGTCTTGCTGAAATTGTGGATCATCCTGGATCTCTATACTGCCTAAAGCTAGTGATGCAAAAAGACACAGCAGGAAGACACGAGAGTTGCTTCCAACATCGGACCACTTGACAAAGCATCAAGGGCATAAGAGCGCTGTACTGGAACTGGCTTGTAAAGTCCCAGAGAACATTCACGGCTGGGACGATCATGAACAGAACCACTGCTGGAATCACCTAAGTCAATAAGATTGGGCCATCTGTGTCTAAGAGACCGCTTTGCTTCAGAGCAAGGCCTACAGCAACCTTTGTCTTTTCAATTTCATCACTCCGTGGGTCTGTCTTCAATTCACAGGGGGATGCAGTATGATGCAACTTCCTTTGGCTGCAGGCCAGCAAGGCAGACAAGCCTTCAAACTGCTTTCCGGCTCTTCGAGACTCCACGAGGTGCTGTCAATTGAAGGCTTGTGGCAAGAGAAACGAACCCATCCAATCAAGCGCAGTGGGTACCTCTTCTTCTTGGAATGCAAACGCCACATGATTGCAAAAATGGAATTTTAAAATGAAATTTCAGTACGACTCCCCCCCTCAAATTCCATTTTTAAGAAAGAGGGTAGGGATCGCTTTAAGAAGTTCCAGCCCGCCACAAAATGTGTGAACCTTTTGCAACTGGCATCCAAATTGGATCCCCCTTTGAATTAAGTGAGAGTGTTGGTGTCAGCAATTTTATAGTGATAATTCTGGAGACGCTGACCCTCTTTCTGAAAATGCATCTATAGAATCAGAGACCCCAAGGTATTTTCAAGTTGACAATCTTTATAGAATTGCTGTCACTGAGGTTGTTTATGAGCATCATTTTCTATGGAATAGCTGCCGCCAAGTCACTCTCGTAGAGCCTTTTTTAGGTTGAGGGGGTTAGTTGGCCTTCTATAAAATCAGCTTCCCCAAATCTCATTCATTGACAGCTGGCCTGAATGCTCCAGTTGCTCTTGCCTAGCTTACCTCATGCATTCCCAAATTTATAAAGCTCTCCTGCTCCAAGTGTTCAGTGTCAACCTCTTCGATTTTATAGACTGGTGAAAAATGCTTGAAAGATCTTGAAAGTCACTCTGCTTCATTTTGTTTCCATCTGTTTCCATCCGTCTCCATTTTTTTAATCCTCGCTGCTCTGGTATACATCCAAAGAAAACATATCCCACTCTAGAATCGCAGTCCCCAAGACTCTCAGCTGACTAGTGCTCAGTGCTGTATTCAACATGAAATCTCTATAGAATCAGTGACGCCAAGGTCCTCTATAAAATTGCAAGCGTTGACACTGGGTAGGTACCCCTCAACAAAGCAGGGGGTTAAAACGCACCATTTTCCCCAGCTTAACTGTTGCGATTCTGTAGAGGAAATTCCAAGGGGGATCAAATTGGCATCTAACTTGTGCAGGGAAAATCTGTCACCAGCGAATGGTCATCTGAAGTCATGCTGCTGGGTACTGGTTGCACACGCTGCAGGAGAGAATGTGCCTTGCTTCTTGCAAGGAATCCACGAACCTCTTATTGAAATCGAAGATTTTCTCAAGCTGTTTGTGGCATACATTCTTATGAAAGGAAATGCAACAAGATTGTGCGCCTTGCAAGGCAAGCCCATGCCGTGATTGAGTTGAAGCAGCACTAAAAAAGCAAACCGGTGACCAAACATGTTCTTTCGAAGCTCTATTCTGAGTAGCTGGTTTTGGACAAAACCATGTTGGAGAAGTATTAAAAGAACTGCCCCATCTTCTCCAATCATGTCACCTGACTCAGCTACACATGTCGTCATGTGTCCAGAGTCCATGGCCCGACAAAGCAGGACTGTTCCAAGTGCGCAAGAAATCCGAGCAAAATATAGTCTCGTTGACGCCTGTTTCATCCTAAGAAGGTGCTATATCTATATCTATATATCTATATCTGCTATGAAGGAACACTTTGACTCATTTGTGGAGTGGGGGATCTGAATGGAATACATTGGCGCACGAATGCGCACGAACCCTTGGATCCCTTTGATTCTTTGGCCATCAGGAGCCTTCACAACGTCAGAGGGCACTGAATTGGATTGCTAACTCGGATGCTCCGGAAACTTGAGGGGATGATGCTTGTGCTATCCATGGCGCATCTACGTCCGGTCGCATGCAGTTTGAGAACTTAGCGCGGCATTCACGGTGCATATGACGGTTTGTCAAAATGTCTGTTCCCGCTTTTGTTGATAAATCGCAATTCCATGCGTGCCGCCTCATGTTTGCCTTTAAAAAACATGACCTACCTTGATGACGTGAAAACGTGGAAATTCTTCGTTACCTTTGGAAATCTTTCTAAAACCACAGGAATCGGCTAACGCACGTCGGTTTTCATTCGCTGTCGCTGGTACTATCACCTGAACTGTGTGTCTGTGTGTGCCTCTCTGAATGCAATATGCTTCTTGACATGCCTCCTGATCAACGCTGTTTCCTTACTGTAAGCTACCAAAGCGTGAACATGGCTGTGCCTCTGAATGGGCTGCGGGTGGACCGGGGCATGATTTGCAATTTTCGCTAGCGCGTTGCTAGCGGGGATCTAGCGCGTAAAATACGTAAAAAAAATCGCAAATTTGGGAAAATGTGGAAACTGACAGACTTGTAAGAAAAGCTGGCAAGACATTCACGACATGGAGGCCATGGCTGTCAATCAAACCTAGCGCAAACCTAGCGGGTTTGCTAGCACTGCCTTGCAGAATTGCTGAATTTAGTTGCGTGCCGCCTCATAACTAAGAGGAAAAAACAGTATTATCAACAACCAATACTAAACTTCTAAACAACTATTTTTGACAAATGGTCATATGATTCTCGCAGGCGCAATCCTTCAGCTAGCAGACTCTGAGACTATGACTTGAAAGAGATTGCATCCAGCAATTCTTTCGGTCCTTCCAATTTTGCGCATCTGGCTGGACGGTCGGTGAAAGCTTCTGAATTCGATGAGCCCTACAAGCCGTTCACAAGCAGTTCATAAGCAGTTCATGAGTCATGTTGCTACATTATGAGGAGTGGTCGATTCCATCTCCTCACTTAGAATCAAACCATGTTGCCATTCCTTCATTTTGATTTTGCCATTCCTTCATTTTGTTTCCAATGCCGCCCAGTGCCAACCCTGGCCTTTCAATGGGCAATTTTGGAATAGTGTGGGCTACTTGTCCTTAAACCTTCAACCCACCATGAAATAGGTGATTGAGCCAGCATCTGCCATCCTTTTGTATTCCTGGATTTTGCTTCCAATGCCTCCAAATGCAAGCCCTGGCCTCTCAATGGGCTATTTTGGAACAGCGTGGCTGCCACTATAAAATGGCTGGCCTCAACCTTTCAACCCACCATGAAGTTGGTGATTGAGCCAGCATCTGCCATCCTTTTGCATTCCTTGATGCCAGCCCTGGCGTTTCAATGGGCCATTTTGGAATAGTGTGTGGCTACTTGTATGATTTCCAAGTGCTGCCACTATAAAATGGCTGGCCTGAACCTTTCAACCCACCATGAAATTGGTGATTGAGCCAGCATCTGCCACCCTTTTGGGTTGAAATTGCCTGGAAAGCTGGGTATTCAACCCCATCACCAATTTCAAATTGGGTTGGTGGGTTGAAGCTAGCCATTTGATAGTTGCTAGATTTGGGAATTTGCGCAAGTAGCAAACAAGATAGCACAATGTGGGCTACTGTGTTTTAATGTGGGCTACTTGCACAATTTCCCAAATCTAGCCACTATCAAATGGCTAGCTTCAACCCACCAACCCAATTTCAAATTGCTGATTGGGTTGAATACCCAGCTTCCCCGGCAATTTCAACCCCAAAGAATGGCAGGTGCTGGCTCAATCACCAATTTCATGGTGGGTTGAAAGGTTCAGGCCAGCCATTTTATAGTGGCAGCACTTGGAAATCATACAAGTAGCCACACACTATTCCAAAATGGCCCATTGAAACGCCAGGGCTGGCATCAAGGAATGCAAAAGGATGGCAGATGCTGGCTCAATCACCAACTTCATGGTGGGTTGAAAGGTTGAGGCCAGCCATTTTATAGTGGCAGCACTTGGAAATCATACAAGTAGCCACACACTATTCCAAAATGGCCCATTGAAACACCAGGGCTGGCATCAAGGAATGCAAAAGGATGGCAGATGCTGGCTCAATCACCAATTTTATGGTGGGTTGAAAGGTTCAGGCCAGCCATTTTATAGTGGCAGCACTTGGAAATCATACAAGTAGCCACACACTATTCCAAAATGGCCCATTGAAACACTAGGGCTGGCATCAAGGAATGCAAAAGGATGGCAGATGCTGGCTCAATCACCAACTTCATGGTGGGTTGAAAGGTTGAGGCCAGCCTTTTGTGTGGTGGCAGTTGGGCGGCATTGGAACCAAAATGAAGGAATGCAAAGAAATGGTTTGCCCATCTTCCCTGAGCATGTCTTCACATGGCACAGGGCCGGGCTCCTTTTCAGAGGTTGTGCCCCCACCCGAGGCATCTTTGATCAAATGATCAATGGCTGTGGATAAGAACAACCTGGATCATGGCTGCACTGCAAAAACCTGAACAAATCTGGACAAATTTCAGCTACAACCCTGAAATCACTATAAAGTGGGGTGAGTGACCCCCTGAAGGAGCGCCGCTGGAGGTGCATAAAACAAAATATAGCATACCTTGACCCCTGTCATTTTATAGAGGATATGTTCATGGGTATAGCAAAACCTCAGTTCTCCGAACCCTGCAGACTCAGCTCAGCAAGGAATGTCCTTGCGATTACTCGCTTGGTTAGCGACTGCCCCTTTGCTCACGACCTCCGACAGCTGGTGCCATGTCGTCCAATGGCAACAAGGCCAAGGAGAAGAGCCAATCTTCGAAGACCGAGCTCAAGGGGAACAAGGACGCCAAATTCGATTGGTCGCGGACTTGCGGACCAGACCCGAGGGATCCGAGATGCAGCGGAGCCCGTGCGCTCGGTGCAAGCTGAGGCCCAGCTACACCCCGTCATGGGGTGCGCATGCCCTCACCCGCAAACCGGGTGCACTCCCTGCGGACGTGGAGAAGCAGGTCGACGAGCTGCAGGAGAACGCGGCCTACAGGCTGAAGCTTCGGGACAAGGACATCGGTTTGGACGGAGCCGAGAAGAGCTGCCTCAACCAACTCGAGAAGATCAAGGCGCAGAAAGCGGCCTACAACAAGGACAAGCCGGCAGCTGCTCCACAGACCGAGGGCCCTATCATGCAATGCTACCAGGCCGCAAAGGCCGGAAGACCGAGTCGGCGGAGGAGCTGGAGGCAAAGCAGAGAGAGGAGACGGTGGACAGCCCTGGTTCCTTCACGGTGATTTCATCTTAGGCGACGAAGCTGAGGCGACCGAGAAGGCCGAGGAGAACTATAACCATGGACTATGAACTCATCCCGGAGAATGAGGCCATCCAGGACTTTGACAACAACGAGCCCCACAAGCCCGAGGAGAACTATCTCGTGAAGAACCTGGACAACACCTTGACCAAGCACTTGGTGAACTATGTCCAGGAGTACTTTGATGACATGGAAGAGGAGATCTTTGCTTGTGGTGGCATGCGAGAAGATGATCGACTTGATCTATACTGGAACTTTGCTGCGAGGAGAACAGCCTACTCACTGAGGTGGTTCGTGCTGCTCGTGGAAAAGCTGAACGGCTGGGCTCTTCAATGGATGCGATCTGATGAAAGCATCCGGCAGGGAGAAGGTTCAGAAGATCATTGATGAGAAGAAACCACGTTGGGTTTGGGTTTCTTATCCCTGCGGACCTACAAGCCACATCCAGCACTTGAATGAGATCAGTGAGGAGGGCTGGTGGCAAAGTATGAGACGAAAACAACGAGCACGAAGGTTGGTGAAACATGGCAATGAGATCCTCCTCAAGTACATCCAGAATGGTGGCAAATTGGTGTGGGAATGGCCTCGCTACAACGAAGGGTGGCATCTTCCTGAGGTGCGTTCGTTCTGGGCACAGATTGCTCACATCGACCACAACCTGGACGGCTGCATGTTCAACCTACGTGCGCAAGATGGCAACTACCACAAGAAACCCTGGACTTTGAGAAGTAACAGATTTGGAGTCTTCAGCAAGATGGAGCGACTTTGTGATGGAAGCCACAAACACTCTCCAACAATGGGTGGAACTGTGGCGAAGAAGTCAGGGCTCTACACACCACAGATGTGCTCTTTGGCAGCCCGATGTATGAAGGCCTACTACTTGGAGGACTACAACATCTACGGCTTGGACTCTGTGAAGATTGACCGGGAGTCGCTGAAGACGATGACCTATCAGGAGATCGAGCGCCTCTCGCTCACGGTCCTCAAACTACATCGTCGATGTGGACATCCTGGAAACAGAGCGCTGGTGAAGATCCTTGCTGCTCGCAACGCCGACCCTAAGATGCTGGCGATTGCGGAGAACTTGCAGTGCGACGAATGTCAAGAAGGACAGTTCAGCAAGCCCTCTGTAGCTGTTGCTTTGGAGAAGGAGCAGAAAATCTGGAACACGCTACAGATGGACACCTTCTACTTCAAGCACGACTCCAATGTCTACCACTACCTGGTCATGCTCGACGAGGCGAGTGGGTTCTCCATCACTGCCGAGATCTTGGTCCATGTGGAGGAGATTCATGCCAACGTGGACACCCAGAGCGGGATTGAAGCTCTGGAAGGATCATGGTTCCAATACTTTGGACATCCTCAACGCATTCGATGCGACCTTGAGGGTGCCTTCAGAGGACGAGAGTTGGAGGCCTACTGCGCAGAGCGTGGCACTGAACTACTTCAAGTACCAGCAGCACATCATCAGGCCACGGGAGATGTGGAGCGCATGGTTGGAGAACTACGTCACAAGATTGAGTTGTTCCTGAGAAGCGAGGATGTGCCTCCCCGAAGAGCCGTCTACGCCATGACCACTGCTCACAACCACATGGCAAGGATAGGTGGATTTGCACCTTCCCAATGGGCTTTCGGAAGGCAGATGGACAACTTGGACAACATTGCAGTGCACTCTTCTGAAGGAGCCAGTGGACATGCAATGGCTGAGAATCTCCAACTACGACTACGTGCCGAGAAGCGCTACTTGGAGCTCCAGGCCAACGCCAAGATTATGGCCGAATTTACACTTTACAGTTACACTGTGTATGGCCCCCGAGAAGGTGATTGCAAGATCCTTCACAAAGATTATGGCCGAATTTTGGTTTGATTTGTTCTTGTTTGTGTCTTTTTTACATGTTCGACTGAAACTGGTATTTGTCCTCTTGAGCCGTTGTTTGGCGAGGATCGCATCTCGAGATGAGTTTGTGGCTCTGCATGGCGAGTCCCCAATCACCAAAATTGCTGGTTTCCAACCAGAGCGCGTTTTGTCACAGAAAATTTTGGCAACATGTTTTTTCCAACCTACAAACTGGCAAGGTTTCTGTTTTCCAAGCGCCCCTCAACATTTGGGTTTCCATTCAGTCCCCAAACGAATTCTGTATAACCTTTCTGTTTCCATGTCATCTATATCTGCATATAGTGTGTACCATCCATGGTCCATACATCTGCAGTTGCCACACATCCCCCAAAACAAACTGTGTATATATAATATTATATAACTTAACATAAATTTAAACACACCTGAGAAGGGGGGACGAAAGCCAGCCCCGAGCCCCCAAACGTCCTCTTACAATCCCGTATGAACTAGAAGCCCAAACCATCTGCAGCACCTTTGGAAGACTTCTCCTTGCTTTGCAACCCTTCGGCCCCCCTTCCTCAGTATCACTTCTCATCCCCTTGCAAACTATCTTGTTCCGAACCCCAACGGACGCTGCTCTCCGTTGAGCTTCGGAGTTCCTCCATTTTCCTCCTGTTTTTAACGATTTTTTCCTACCGTTCCTCTACTTTCCTCCGTTTTCCTCCTCCGTAACCTCCCGTAACCTACCGTAACCTCCCATGACCCCCCGTGACCTGACCCGTGAAATCCTCCCGGCCAAGATTTGGCCTAAAACGGCCTTTTCCCAATGATCCCAGAAGAGAAATTCAATAGGCGGCCGAGGGGGGCCGCCAAATGGCAGAAATTTGCTCCCATGCTTCCCCGTAACCTCGCGTAGCCAACTGTCACCTCCCTCCCATACAGAGACAGACACAGACACAGACAGGCATACACACAGCACTCTACACTTTACACTCTACACTTTACACTCTACACTTTACACTCTAAACTTTACACTCTACACTTTACACTCCACACTCCACACTCTACACTTTACACACTACACTTTACACTCTACACTCTTCACTCTACACTCCATACTTTACACTTTACACTTTACACTCCTCACTCCTCACTCCTCACTGCGCACTTTACACTCCACACTCCACACTCTACACTCCACACTCTACACTTTACACTCTACACTTTACACTCTACACTCTGCACTCCACACTTTGCACTTTACACTTTACACTCCACACTCCACACTTTGCACTCCACACTCCACACTCTACACTTTAAACTCCTCACTCCTCACTGCACACTTTACACTCCACACTCCACACTTTACACTCTACACGCTACACTCCACACTTTACACTTTACACTTTACACTCCATACTCCACACTTTACACTCCACACTCCACACTCTACACTTTACGCTCCACACTCCACACTCTACACTTTACACACTACACTTTACACTCTACACTCTTCACTCTACACTCCATACTTTACACGTTACACTTTACACTCCTCACTCCTCACTGCACACTTTACACTCCACACTCCACACTTTACACTCCACACTCTACACTTTACACTTTACACTCTACACTCTACACTCCACACTTTCCACTTTACACTCCACACTTTACACTCCACACTCTACAGTTTACACTCCACACTCCACACTTTACACCATCCGTTACCTCGAATGCCAAGTTTGGGGTACTGCTTGGGAGCTATGAAAGGGTGCCTTTTGACAAGTGGAGGACATTGTCATAACCAATCAATGTGTGTGTGTCTTGATAAAGGGATGTGGGAAAGCCTAAAATAAGCCTACCATTTGGGGAGGATTGAAATCCTATCCATAAAATTGGTGATTTGGGGGATGGTTTATGGCAGTCGGTGGATTCCAACCTATGCTAAACTCGAATAGGATTGGTCATATCATGGTTGCTCCTCTAACTAGAAGACATAATTTAGTGGCTCCATTTTGGAGGCAGTTATCCACATCCAAGTTTATGGCTTATTTCTGTTTGGTTGCGACACCCCTGGCACAATGACCAGCGCAAGAGTTGCTAGGCTAACATCGAAACAAACATGCTGTTACCATCCGTTACCTCGAATGCCAAGTTTGGGGTACTGCTTGGGAACTATGAAAGGGTGCCTTTTGACAAGTGGAGGACACTGTCATAACCAATCAATGTGTGTGTGTGTCTTGATAAAGAGATGTGGGAAAGCCTATAATAAGCTTACCATTTGGGGAGGATTGAAATCCTATCCATAAAATTGGTGATTTGGGGGATGGTTTATGGCAGTCGGTGGATTCCAACCTATGCTAAACTCGAATAGGATTGGTCATATCATGGTTGCTCCTCTAACTAGAAGACATAATTTAGTGGCTCCATTTTGGAGGCAGTTATCCACATCCAAGTTTATGGATTATTTCTGTTTGGTTGCGACCACCCCTGGCACAATGACCAGCGCAAGAGTTGCTAGGCTAACATCGAAACAAACATGCTGTTACCATCCGTTACCTCGAATGCCAAGTTTGGGGTACTGCTTGGGAACTATGAAAGGGTGCCTTTTGACAAGTGGAGGACACTGTCATAACCAATCAATGTGTGTGTGTGTCTTGATAAAGAGATGTGGGAAAGCCTATAATAAGCTTACCATTTGGGGAGGATTGAAATCCTACCCATAAAATTGGTGATTTGGGGGATGGTTTATGGCAGTCGGTGGATTCCAACCTATGCTAAACTCGAATAGGATTGGTCATATCATGGTTGCTCCTCTAACTAGAAGACATAATTTAGTGGCTCCATTTTGGAGGCAGTTATCCACATCCAAGTTTATGGATTATTTCTGTTTGGTTGCGACCACCCCTGGCACAATGACCAGCGCAAGAGTTGCTAGGCTAACATCGAAACAAACATGCTGTTACCATCCGTTACCTCGAATGCCAAGTTTGGGGTACTGCTTGGGAACTATGAAAGGGTGCCTTTTGACAAGTGGAGGACACTGTCATAACCAATCAATGTGTGTGTGTGTGTCTTGATAAAGGGATGTGGGAAAGCCTATAATAAGCTTACCATTTGGGGAGGATTGAAATCCTATCCATAAAATTGGTGATTTGGGGGATGGTTTATGGCAGTCGGTGGATTCCAACCTATGCTAAACTCGAATAGGATTGGTCATATCATGGTTGCTCCTCTAACTAGAAGACATAATTTAGTGGCTCCATTTTGGAGGCAGTTATCCACATCCAAGTTTATGGATTATTTCTGTTTGGTTGCGACCACCCCTGGCACAATGACCAGCGCAAGAGTTGCTAGGCTAACATCGAAACAAACATGCTGTTACCATCCGTTACCTCGAATGCCAAGTTTGGGGTACTGCTTGGGAACTATGAAAGGGTGCCTTTTGACAAGTGGAGGACACTGTCATAACCAATCAATGTGTGTGTGTGTGTCTTGATAAAGAGATGTGGGAAAGCCTATAATAAGCTTACCATTTGGGGAGGATTGAAATCCTATCCATAAAATTGGTGATTTGGGGGATGGTTTATGGCAGTCGGTGGATTCCAACCTATGCTAAACTCGAATAGGACTGGTCATATCATGGTTGCTCCTCTAACTAGAAGACATAATTTAGTGGCTCCATTTTGGAGGCAGATATCCACATCCAAGTTTATAGATTATTTCTATTTGGTTGCGACCACCCCTGGCACAATGACCAGCGCAAGAGTTGCTAGGCTAACAAAACAAACATGCTGTTACCATCCGTTACCTCGAATGCCAAGTTTGGGGTACTGCTTGGGAGCTATGAAAGGGTGCCTTTTGACAAGTGGAGGACACTGTCATAACCAATCAATGTCTGTGTGTGTCTTGATAAAGGGATGTGGGAAAGTCTATAATAAGCTTACCATTTGGGGAGGATTGAAATCCTACCCATAAAATTGGTGATTTGGGGGATGGTTTATGGCAGTCGGTGGATTCCAACCTATGCTAAACTCGAGCGGCACTTTGCCGAACTTGATCCCTTCTGGAGCTGAAAATTGAATGCGTTGTGATGTTTTTTGGTTGGTTTTCGCGCTCCCCAAGTTTAACCAGCACACTCATGTGATGCATCTGCAGCATCCGAACTTTTCGCCCAAATTTTGCTCAGGTGTACTTGACACTCCACACTCTACACTCAACACTTCACACTCGACACGCTAGACACCACATTTTACACTTGACACTGTGCACGCCTCACTCCATGCTGGGTGACAGATTGTATGTCACTCCACACAGTACACTCCACGTGTTTCAAACGCTATTGCCCTCCATTTTTCCCCCTGTTTTCAACGATTTGCCTTCGTTTTTTTCCTACCTTTTTCCTGTCATTCCTCCATTTTCCTCCATTTTCCCCCCACTTTCAACGATTGTCCTTCCTTTTCTGTCGTTTTTTTCCTACCTTTTTCATGGCATTCCTCCATTTTCCTCCATTTTCCACCTGTTTTCAACGATTTTCCTTCGTTTTTTTCCTACCTTTTTCCTGTCATTCCTCCATTTTCCTCCATTTTCCCCCCGTTTTCAACGATTTTCCTTCCTTTTCTGTCGTTTTTTTCCTACCTTTTTCCTGGCATTCCTCCATTTTCCCCCTGTTTTCAACGATTTTCCTTCGTTTTTTTCCTACCTTTTTCCTCCATTTTCCCCCTGTTTTCAACGATTTTCCTTCATTTTCCTTGGTTTTTTCCTCCCTTTTTCCTGCCGGAGTCAACGGACCTAGGGGGAATCGAAGCCTACCGTCACCTCTTTGCGTAGTGGTACATGCCCCCAAAAAAAGTTCAATGTGCCCACCCTCCACTGCAACTAATTTCGAGATTTTGGCACCATACGCGACGACCACCCCCCAGACCCCCTAATACTCACTTCGTTCGCCAAAACAACTTTGCCTAGCCTATCGGCTGGCTTTCGTAACATACACATATAGACGTAGTCACATATTTATTTATACCCAAAAAATATCAAAACCGATATGTACAGGTAGATAAGTGCTGATGTATGTACATGGCCATTTGCAACGCCACATCCTAAGGTATCTATCCTGACTGGATGCACATTGTCCATTTGGCGCTTGGTGTGGATGCAGTGGCGTCGGTGCTCATTGACATGTGTGACTATCCAAATCTCATTGAAGGATTCACCAGGGATGACAAACTGTCCACGCTGTATGCAAACTACCGGGAATGGTGTGAAGCTACCAGTCCCTAGGAAACATAATGGTGGTTTGTTTTGGTGTTTTTGCTGGGGGTAGATTTGTTTGACCTTCAACAGGCAAGTTCAACAGATAAAACAACGCCAGATTCGTTTGAAAGCAACTGTGAACCGAACAACCTAGGTGTGGCCGATCGTGCAGCGAGAAAATTTTTCACTACGGGTGTGTTGCGCCCGCAGGGTGGTGCCCAATACCCGGCAGTGTCCCAAAAGATTTTATCTGCCACGGCCTGTCGATATCTGATTTTTTGGCTGTCGAGGGCGCTTCAACAAATTGTTTTGGATGATGACATCTACAAGCATCCCGTCAATGATTCTTTAAACTAGATGGTCAAAGAGAAATTTCCCACCTTCGCAACCCTTAAGCCTTAAGATTTTATACGCATCGGTTCCATACAACTGGGGTGTTTTTTCCACTGGGGGAACTATTCCAAGCAAAATCCACGAATGAGTGTTGATAGACTGCATTTGACACATTCCAAACAGACCTATAGAACCTTATTCAAATCCAATGGCTTTTGCTTTCCACGTTTTTTCAATTTAGTTATCAAAGTTCAAAAGATGTTCTTCCAGGTTAAATTGTTTAAACTTACATCCAGTGCCACTGTAAAGGCAATCCGGTTTGCTGGTTTTTGAAAGCCCCCATGGACTAAGGTACTGGTGCGGGCTGATCGGAGGACTTGCCACGATGGAAACCTTGATTTTGAGGGGTGGAAGAAAACTCACCCCAAAGGCCACTTGTGAGTTCAAAAGAGCTTACTGTGTCTACAGGTCTGCTCTGAACACCTTAGCAGATCTTGCTGTCCAAAAAAAGGAGGCAAAGTACCATATGAGACCAAAGGTGCACTTCATGGGGCACACTGTGTGGCATTACTTGCCAAAGAACCCAAAATACCTATGGTATACGCTGATGAGGATATGATATCCCGTACAAAACGGATTGCTGAAAAGAGCCATCCGGCGCATATGTCGCGTTTGACTGTGTTTCGGTACACGCTGCAAGCATGCATGCGTTTTGATGGAGTGATTGAGTGAGCGCTGCGTTGACGCGTTAAAAGAGGGCAAGTTTGTTCAGATTTCACCTCACCGTCAGCCTTTTAAACATGGGCATCCTCACAACTCTGTATTTTTTTGGGGGTGCACCGTTTGACATGCCAAAGCCAAAACACATCATATGTTTCAAACGTTTTTTTTGAGGGCACCAACCGATACTTTTTTTCCCCACTTGCGAAGGTCGCATGCGACGTCTTTAAAGGCTGAAGTCCAAAAAATTGGACTTCAGCCTATATATTGCGCTTGCCTTGCAAAACACTAGGCTCAAGTGAATGGGGGCAATGCAATTGCCATCAGCCATGTTACTGGTTGAGCCAGTGAATCACAGGGGATGCTACCTGACTCACCTCAAGAAAGTCCAATGTCGAGAACGGGACTGTTTCGCTTCACAGGAGTTTTTGAAACTCTTCAAGCAGTCAGCCCAGTCAGCTCCAGTGGCTTGCCAACTTTCCAAGCATGGCTGGGGACTGCACGGGACTGCCGACTTCCCACTGCTATAGAAAAAACGCAAGCATCCAGTGGATCCACATCTAATACACTACCAACTCGACCCAATTTGTCCACCGCAGATGCTACGTGTCTTATTCTCTGTCTCTCACTTTTCGAAAACCAGCACAAGCCTCCAGAAAACCTGTCCTGGTCTCTTGACATGTGGGCAGGTCATTTCACCTGCAAACTCACTGACTGGCTGCTGCTTTAGCTGCAACCTGACGGCATGGACAAACACCTCTGAATCAGTTGAGGGCACCCCATAGATTCGCATTACTTGGTTTCTGGCTGATGGTACGATCGTCAACAACAGAACCACTGCTGGAATCGCTGGAATCACCTAAGTCAATAAGATTGGGCCATCTGTGTCTAAGAGACCGCTTTGCTTCAGAGCAAGGCCTACAGCAACCTGTGTCTTTCAATTTCATCACTCCATGGGTCTGTCCCCAGCACTTTTGTTGGCACAAACATGTAATTCTTGGTCATATAGCTCATGCTCTTGGTACTGGAGCCATGTCCAAATCCCATGATTTCCACCATTGTTAGCTTAATTTTTTATCGTTGCTGAATTAGGCGACGTTAACCTCTTCTTGGAAAGGGTAACTCGGGTAACTCTGCTGGCCACCTGCTGGCCCTTGTAGCTCCTTACCCGGATGTGTGCCCAGACACCAAAGACAGAGTATTTTGACGCAAACCGCTAGGATCTACTAGAATCTACTGGGATTGACAGCCAAGCTGGGCCAAGCTGGCATACACGACGGTGCGCCACCTCTGCAAAGAACCGTGCAAAGGACGGCTACCACCTGAAGTTATGCCCAAGCTCCTCCAAACTCAGTGGGTCTGAGCCTACGCCTGCACTTCCGCCGTCTAGATATCAACAGTTCGCTATGGCTCCACTGAGATCCCACATGCCGCTGTTTTGCTGGCAGAAAGCCACGGTCTCAATGGCTGTCAAGCCTGTGGGATGCCGAATTCTGCATTCTGTGTCTATACTTTATTCACGGCGGCGCTTCAGAGGAATCGTGAGCGACCGCCTAATGGGCCTCGACACGACGATGCCACGACGAGCATTGGAAAGCTGAAAAATGCTGAGCAAACCCTACTTTGGGATACTTTGGGATGAGATCACTGAAACCTGGCACTGGATAGTTTGATCATCACAGGCCTTCCGTTAGCGCATGCAATCCCTGCTTTCTTTGCTCGAACAAGCTTTCTCACTCTTTCAACGGCAATTTTGCTTGAACATGTTGGTGTTTGCACTTGCTAAGACAGTTTCACACTCTGCATATACATTACTTTGGCGTCTGACTTTTGACCTGCTGTCAGGGCAACTCCCAAGTACTCGGGGGTAAGGTTCAGGTACCATGAAGATGTTGGGACAGCTTGCACAGCTTGAAAGGATAGAGGCGCTAAAACCAAGGCAAACTGCTTCTATTCAAAAGATTCGACAAGAACTTTCCAAGCGCTCGAATCGTCAGCGCAGTCTGGATGTTTGTAGCAACATCTGCTTTTGCCACAAACACCCAACAACCAGCTGTCAATAGAAGATTTCTGAGTCCATGCTGATCTCATCCAGTGATAAATGTCGCCTTGCTAATGCCATGGCTGAACAAAGTGTGGCTTTGGAAAGCCAATAAGAAAGCAAGAAGAGCTCATTCCTGGTACTGGGAGTTGTGAGGGTCTGCAGAAGTCAATGAATGTGGAAATGCTGTTGAGAAGGCAACCACTATTGAAGTCAGATCTTAATGCGGCTAGGATTGGCACACGGGGGCAAGCACAAGCAAGGCTGCCAGTGGCTTTTGGAGAGCTGGGTAATTGTGTGCAAGATGCGCTGAAACCCCTGTGGAATGTTCGCTCCAATGACGGCTTTTTGAAAGGGGGCGGTTTGGTGTAACGTTTCATCATTCCTTACCTATTGGCTCTGCAACCGCGGAGCGAACCTCATTAGAAAGCCAACCAATGAGCATAGGACACCTATATGGTTTGGTCATGTTTGGTCCCCAAACGCCTTGTTTTGGACGGGCTGATCAAAGACGCAGTGCCCGGTGCGTGGCTTTGGAGTTCCAACGGTATCCCCTTGTACCATTTTGGATATTTTGGAGGTTTGGGGTGATTTTTTTTGCACAGCAAAACGGACGATAAAGTCAGCTGCTCCGGCTCCTCCAGAGATTTCACTCCTAAATCTCTCAAGTCCTACTTTTTGATCTTTTTGGACCTTCAGTCTCTGCTGACAATTTGCAACCCTTTAGGCCCATCAGGAAATACGTGCAGAATGCAACATATCTTGCTGATTGAACGATTTGCAATCAAGGAGGACAGTCCACTGCATACAACAAAGGCGTCACCAGGGGGGTCTTCCCTGTCTTCCCGGAAAAATGCTTCCGGAAGCGCATGGCAACTTCGGTTTTCTTGATTTCTGTGCAGGCCTAACACCGCACTTGCTCCATCTTGCTCCACGGAGGTCAGCCTTTACACTTTGGCCATGGCTCCTCTGCTCGCATGTTCAGCTTCAGCTCATATTTCGGTTCCTGGCGTGACAATTTTCAACACTGACGCAGTGAGCGCAAACCCAGATGGCTGTGCTACAGTTACACTTGAAAGAACCATTAAAAAACATCTTAACAAAAACCATGGTTTGATCATTTTGAGGCGCAACTAATCTTCAACTGTGTTGAATGTCGCAAACAAAACCCAAACCCTGTACAGTAATTACTTAAGCAAACACAACATAGTGCTCCAACTTCAAACGCATCAGTCCTGCCGTCTGCGTGAGCGCGTAAACAAAACTGCACCATGAAACCAGACGAAACCAATGTGGTCGCACCATCCAGCAGGCTCATTGCTGCTCTTTTGGGTCACGCTGGATCCTGATATATGCATTCCTCCCCTAAAAGAAACCGAAGGGCCGAAGGGCTATCAATCAAATGAATTACGCATCACCAACTCACTTATTGCAACATACTGCGACAAGTTCAAACGATGACGCAATGGTATGCTGCATTTCCACTTTATGCATGGCTCTTCGCAGCTCGGCTCAAGGACCACGTGGCCTTAACTATGGCATGGGAAGCTTTGCGATTTCTGGGCATGGCATGCCCAACTTTCTTGTTCGCCGTCGCTCTGAATACCGTCTCATGCCAAGGTATGTTTTCTTCTGTTTCTTCGGCAAAAAATCTGAGGCACACAAGTGTTGCAGGGATGCAATTTGTCTAAACACCCCGAAGATTGCATGACAAGGGTCAACCCCCGAGATCTTCAACGTTTCATCTAGGGGAAGACTGGGAGTGCTGTCAGTGGCTTCAAAGGCGCAATTCTGCAGAAAGGCTTAACAGAAAAATTGGTGCCTTTGGAAGCCAAGTCAGCTGCACCCGAATCAGTTACGCAGAAATTGCCAACAAATGAAGTCAAAAAGTTCAGGTCATCTTTGATTCCCAAGCGCTTCACCAGCCATTCCTGTATCAAACGAAGGTGCTGTTGATCAGATCATGAATTAGCCCGGTGGATGAAATTGAATGAGGATGATCTCTGTACATTCCCTGGCTTCGTTCCACCACGGTGGCACCCGAAGCGCAAGAAGCGCCGCGGCAAAAGTCAATTGCGCACGGCCCGGTGGATGAAATTGAATGAGGATGATCTCTGTACATTCCCTGGCTTCGTTCCACCACGGTGGCACCCGAAGCGCAAGAAGCGCCGAGGCAAAAGTCAATTGCGCACGTCCACTTGAGCCAAAAGGATGGGTGACAGGACTGTGAAGGCTCAAAGGCTCAAACCAGCTGCAAAAAATGACTTAGCAGACTTAGCATCAGTATCCCAAGTTCGGGCATCAATATCACAAGGCTGGAACTCCTTTCGTTTCCATCTAACAATAGCAAGGCTGACAGCTCTGTACTATTTCAACATATTTCAACATTCAACCAGCCAAAGACCCACTTTCGGGGTGTCTGGACACTAAACTGACGATGAATTCGCATCATTTCTGCAATTTCACTTCCTGAATGGCTGTGCGCGTCTTGTGAAAGTGGTTGGCAAAGGAAAACGGCCTTGAGATATGTAAACAAACACAAAAAACACTTGAAATAACAAAATTGTCTGCTTTCACTGGATTTCCATAGTGTCCACTTTTTGTCGTACTACCAGTATTATGTATTCCTGCAAAGACTCAGGCGAAAACGCTGCAGTCTATTTTCACTCGTGCCAAAAGGGTCTCACAAGTTTCAACTGCACATGCTGTTCATGTCAGTCTATGAAGTGAAATGACAAATGCAACTCTCTTATCGATTTGTGCGTGTCATCCTGGCACATGTGAGTGGGCTCCACAACTTTCCACACTCCTCCTTTGTGGTTTGAGCGTGGCTCATTCCACAACTCCAAAATTTTCACCTCTCAACGCAAATTTCAGCTCTGCTGTCTGACTCTGCATCATCCAGTGAAAACGTTTTCGAATTCAATCTTTCAAATCATCAAGCTCTGCATGTCTTCGACATAGAGCCTAAACCTGTCTCGGCGTTCATCATCTCCTCTGTTACGGTGAAAACGATATAGCCTCTGGAATATGTTTCTGATCTCATTTGAAATTCTTGTACTGAATCCCTCTGTTAGAGTGGAATCTAGCACCAGACAAATTGCCTGCTGAATCATGCTGGCCTCATGCCAGCGTTCTGCTGCAAGAGCTTGGTTCTGATCTGCCCTCATGTTCTGTAAGAGGGCTTCCATTCCAGTAGGTCTATTGGATTGGTTGTCCTCCACATCTGTTGTCGGACTTTCTTCTTCTCCTCCTTCGTGATCTTCTTGCTGATGTACAATTGGGTCAGTTGAATCTGCACGGTTTCTATGATTCCAAAGCACCAGGTTTCCTCTTTCTTGCGTTAGCATGTGTCGATACTGCTCGGCTGTCAGTTTAGCGTTCCTGACAAAACCACCTATCTCCATCAGTCCATACCTCACGCAATTTGAGGTTTCCTCCAGAGCATTGAAACCTTCTATAGTTTCCTGTTCAAAACCAGTCTGTCTAGCCATCACCGTGTCAATTCTGTTTGACGCATCTGTTGCCAAAGCGTTGCAATCTTCTATTCTTCCATTCAAATCAGCTGCATACTCATAGTGATCGGCTAACTGGATCTGGGCTTGCTCCAACTCGTTTGAAACTCCCAGCACTTGGTTCTCCAGTTTCTTGATTTTCTCTTCAATCCACTTCCATGCTCTGAATGCCAGCTTTGAAAACACAGTACCCATGCAAATCACCAAAACCGCAATTGCAAATGAAAACCATGATGTGTCCTTGGTCTCATTGTCCATGTTTGCGCGATCTGATTGCGCCATCGCCGCAACCGGTCCTGCTGACTCAAGACCCCCAGCAACTCCGATGGCAATACTCATGCGTAAAATGGCTTTGGAAATTCTTTTCAATTGTTGGGAATTCAATCTCCTCTCATCTTGAATTGCATGCTCATTTGCTCCAACCCTTGAAAAGTCTGCAATGAAAACCAGTTCACATTCATATAACAAATAGAACAACCTCTGTCTGCTCAAAGCTTTTGTCCCGATGTCTGCCACGTTGAGGGTAGTTGGAACCTGTCGAAGTTTGAAGGTATTGTCAGCTGTCTTCTCCTGTATCCATAACAGTTTTCCCGACAGATGCCTCACCTTACCTGACCCTTGCCTGCTTGCCAATTGCCTTGCTGAGCTTGAGTCGGTAAACTGAAAATGTTCCAACTGTTCATCCAAAACAAAAGCAGCACATGCCTTGATGAATATCCCATCGCAAACGCAGCTAACCAAACTATGAAGTTCACTTTCACATGAGCTAAGTGATACAACTCGTTGACTTCGGCTGCTTGAATACATGAAACATCCATTGATGAAATGTATCCCACATGATGTTGAGCGACGTGTCTGCTTGTTTGCACTCCAATCGGCATCGCTGAAGCTCTCAAGTACCCATCGGTGTTGTCCACCAGAAATAACCTTTCCTTGACCATCTTCAGGAAATGGCAGGTGCAAACCAATGTCCCCCACAGATTTCATGAAGCCTACCATCTTGCGTAGGCGTGCAAGTGAAGTCAAAGTGGGAGCACTCATGTATGACGCCAGCTCCTTTATGGTATACATCAAATCTGGCCTTTCACGGCCTGCATACAGACATAGGCCCACAACTGAGCGGTATCCCTTGGAGTCTTTCTCTGAAAGTCTTTGAGAATTGTCAGGCAACTGGATACTTGCATCGCATGGCACTTTCTGTGATCGTGCCGATCCAAACATCCTCTCAAACAAAGAAACCACTTTGTCCACAGTTGTACCCGGGGCTAAAACTAGGCCATCTCCAACCTCCATGATTTTCCTCCTCAGGAAGCTAAT